ATACTTGAATTAAGTATCTTTTGAAATAGTTACTGTTTTCTGAACCTGATTCTATCTGAGTATCACTTATAGAGGCAAATTCAAATTTATTACATAACTCATGATCTAAGAATATTCATTCAATTTAAAAATGTATTAAATACATTATGTAATAAAGAATATATAATAAAGAATATATCTAAACACTGAAAACAATATATACAGAATGAAAGCATGTTAAAAAAACAAGGAAAAAAAGTAATGACTTAAGGTTTATATTAAAAAAAAATTACATTATCTCCATGACATTAAATTTTGAGCAGCTTAAATCTGTATTAGTTAGATGCGGTTTATGCATTTCATTGAAACAATTTATTACATTTAAAGATGACGAGCAGCACAAAAAATTATCAATCGAATTTTCTCTCTTTATTTCTCTGTATTTTCTATCCAAACAGCTCGAATGAACATTTTGCATGCCCTACTATACTTTTTCAACTGGAAAAGTATAGTAGAAATTATAATAGAAAAAATACTTATATATTAAAAATTTGTTCATGTAAAATAGCTAACAGAAAAATACAACTATAAACTGTACGTTATGATACATTATACAGTTGCTAAAATTTGCTAAATTTTTATGTTGATCTTTCTACCAATATTATGGACTAAAGAAGCATTCACAAATTCTTTGTTATACAACTTTACAAGAAAAATCTTTAAAAATTTAATAAAAATTTTTTAATATAAAAAATATTTAAACTCTTTAAATCACATGGATTGGTAAAAAAGCTTTATAAATCATTATTTTGTAAAACATCATCCATTATATATATTTATATTATGTATGTATATATACATATATACATATATAGTGTATGTATATATTATATATGCATATTATATACATGTATATATATATATATATATATATATATATATATATATATATATATATATATATATATATATATATATATATATATACATATATATAATATGCATATATAAAATATATATATATATATATATATATATATATATATATATATATATATATATATATATATATATATATATATATATATATATATATGTATTATATAAATAAGAAAAACATATATAATATATATTTTATATTTATATAATATATCAAGTAGTCTCTACTTGTAATCCACACTCATGAAATAATACGGTCATAAAGAAATATCCATTTAATATTTACCTAACTAACTGCATCACAAGTTAAGCCATGTATTATTGTTAAATTGTCAAATTCAAAACCTTATAAAAAGGCAACAGATGACCTAATTTATTAGCATGTGTGACTTTACTTGTTTTTATTGGGCTAATAAGTAACTTGTTAAGTCTTTACTTGTTATTTGTTATGTTAATAAAAAAATTTTAAGTCACGCATGCGTATTTTAGTTATCATATTGCAATTACGAACGATCGAACTCGTAATATAGACGTTGAATTAACGTGGAATCAACGTCGATTTTATTTGATAGTTTTAAACAAATTTTTCAACGTTGATACAACGTTGATTTTTGGTTATACGACGTCGCGACTAAAAATCAACTGTAAATCAACGTCGAAATAGCGTCGTGTGCCCACTGGGTCACTACTAGAATTCACTGTATCATCAAATGATTGACTATAATTTGTTTCAAGTTCTTTTCTTTTAGGTGGCAGGTCTCGCGAATGTGTTGTAATAGCCTCTGTCACAATACTGCACTGACCTTTGCACCCATTGGAGGATTTCTGAAGTTCATAAAAGAGTTTGTCTACCAGATTTTTATATTAATATTATTATTATAAACTTTTATTTTGCTGATTAAACAACTACAATTACAATTTTTATATAATCATGCAAAAAATACATAGCGGCGTAAACATAAACATGATAAATAAAGTTTTTTATTTTAAAATATGTATTTACAGTTCTAATCAGTCAGGAACTCAAAGAAGGTAAGGATGATGTGTTTAACATCACAATCTTTTCATAGAGCCCCTATAGTTACTAATTATAAAAACACTTTTATTTTTAAAAATAAAATAAAAATTCAAAAAGAACAAAGCTCATATTTTTTAGTGTAACAAATTAAAAAATAAAATATATTAAAAACAAGAAAAATAAGAAGAAGAAAAAAAAAAAAATAAAAATAAAAAATACTGTAAACTTTAAAATGTATGTCAGGAATTAAAAAGATGCATTTTAGTTTCCCGTTTAAACGATGAAATGCTTTTTAGGTCTTTAATATTTTTATTTTGGAAATGATTCCATATTGATGCGCCACGGCTTGTAATTAAAAAATTTGACTGGTGTGATTTAATTTTCCCTATGTGATAGTTGTACCTGGTATTTGAACGCAAATTATATTTTCCAGAAAATGAACTCAAGAAAATATCTGAAAATACGCGGTATGAGATTGTTCTTATACTTATAAATAAAAATTAATATGTGCAATATGTTAAGCCTCTCAATATCAAAATTATAAATTTTTATCAAATCTTCACAAAGTACAAATAAAAAGACAATTATTATTAACACCTGGGATAAATTATTTGACTTATTGCCCAAAAAATGCTAAATTTAAAACTTTTTTGGTGGTGAAAGTGGTACACCAGGAAGAAAAATGAAAATAATTTTTTTTTTAATTTTATGAAAGATTGACCCTTTAAGATGACTTTTTTAAAAAGTTTAAGTTATCATTTTTGGGCAGTAAGTCAAATAATATTATATATTGTTTAATAAACAATATGAGTTATTTAATCAAATTTTCAAACTTTTAAAGATAGTTTAAAATGGATTTGCGCAGAGGGTTGTGGCGTTTATTTTTAGTTTTAGGTAATTACTCCACCGATAATTATAGGGCCGTCACTTGAAAAAAAAATTCCCACCCCTAATGCCTAAACTATCTGAGGTTTCTGTATACATTTAACGCAAAGGTGATTTCATATGTTTTTCATAGTTTCTAATTTTTTTTTTTAATTTAATTTTAATTGATTTATATTCTGCATTTCTAAGTTCTCCTAATTCACTATTTAAAGTTAAAACTCATCCGAGGCGCTATAGATGTAACATTTCCCATTGTAAATATTGACACAGATTTTCAAATTTAGCATCTTTTATTATTTTACCAGCTACATTTAAAAAAATATTTTTATGACACAAATGCACACTTTACCCACCACCTCCTCTTCGTTTACTAAATCGACCAATGCGGTAAAAAAATTTTCTACAATTTTTGTCATGCTTTAATTACTGCGAGGAAACATTTGTAAAAAGCCGCATTAAGATACTAGCAGATCTATAGGAGCAGAAACTATATTGGAGGAGGAAGGAGGGGACAATGCCGGATTTAGGGGCCCCGAAATAGTTTTCAGCACATTTTTTTTGGCTTTTTTTAAGTCATCTTTTCGGTCAATTTTTTCAAAACTATTAGGGTGGAGTGGGGGGGGGGAATGCATGACTAGTGCATATTTTTACAGTTTGATTAGATTTTATATCATGTGATAAGCACCTTTAGAGAATACCACTGCCATAATTAAACACTTTTATGGAGCTTATATACTTTTATAAAATCTACTTAAAAAGTCTGGTTAAAAATAACCTGTAGTAGCATCTGCTTTATAATTTTGGCTGATTTAATGCAAAAAAAAAAAAAAAAAAAAAAAAAAAAAAAAAAAAAAAAAAAAAAACGAGCCGCAGTAAAGTAGATTAAAACAAGATGGTCAAGATTTTTAACAGTTGACTAAACTTATGCCTTTACCTATCAAATTTGTTTATTACCAACCAAACAGAAGTTTTTGCTAAATAATCAAAAAGCTTTTACCAGTAGGCCAAGGAAACCCCTATTCTCGAGTGCCGAATATAAGGTTGGGGGAGGGAGTGTTTTTTTAAAGAATTTTAGTCAAAATCTAATAAACGAAAGAGAGTGAGGAGGAGAGATTTTTTCTGAAATTTAATAAACGGGGGGACATGTTTAATGCCCCCCCTCCCCGTTTATTCAGACTATGCATGTTGAAGTTAAATGCGCATTTGACTTGCGGGTTAGGCTGTTTTATCATAATTTCAATAGGATATATGCTGATATAAGTTTTATACTTTGCAAAGTATAAAACTTAAAACTTATATATTAAATCCTATAATTAAAACCAAAGGTTTGTTGAGAAATAAACTAAAAGATCATGTTTAGCAAATCGAGATTTAATAGATCGACAATTTGTAAAACCTGTTTACACTGAAAGTTTTTGTTTTTATCGGTGACTGAAAATTATTTTCAATTTTTTAAGGCCGATTTTCACTGAATTTTTTTTTTTACTTCTGAGATTTTACTTTTTTGTTGAAAACAAGTAAAAATTAATAAACGAGGGGGGCGGAGGGGGTTATAATAAACTTGGGTGGTTGGGAAAAATATCCAAAACTTAATAAACAGGGGGAAGGAGGGGGTGTTGTTTATTAGGAACTTGAGAGTACCATTTAACAGCTCTTTGGAGCAAAAATAAGTTGAACAGTATTATTTTTTTTCACACTTTTATTTTGGTTGATGCTCTTAACCAGTGGATATGGAAGCAAAGAAAGGAGGGAGCCAAGGAGCTATGGCTCCCCACTATTCTGGAATTGCCTCAAAAATTTCTAAGGAAACGAAAGGAGCCTTATTAAAAATATAAAGATATTGATATCTCGAAAATATAAAAACAATTGATATGCCTACAAACAAACTTGACAAACGAACATTGATTTTGCAATTAATTAATGTATGGATATATGATCATGAAATCAAGGGTATGTACCCAATATTAAAAAAAGAACGCACTGAAACGTGTTAAAAGGTTTCTTAAACCGAAATGCGCATCAATGAACAATTTGATTTAAACAACATAAAGAATTACCATACTATTTCACATAAAACCAATATTTTATGATATATTTACATAAAATTAATTTTTTATAATAAATTCACATAAAACCAATGTTTTATGATATATTTACATAAAACCAATGTTTTATGATATATTTACATAAAACCAAAGTATTATGATTTTTTTAAGCACCACTCTATACTCTATACATTAATTACAAACTGATCAATTCAATCATAATTTTACATGAAATAAAAGACTTAAATGTCTTGAATCCCTATCAGTGTATTTGAACCTAATACATTATAACTTCTAATTTTCAATGAATAATCTCAGTTTTTCATTCCCACGTTTACTCTCTTCCCATGTTTACTCTCGCCTTCAAAGACAAACTGCTCCAAACCAAAACAAGGATATATTCTTCTATTTGTCAGGCTCTTTGAACAAAGTTGGGTGTTACCAAGATCTTTAATCTTCAACATATTATCAGGATAAGTAGTAAACACAAATGTTTTGTTGCTTGACGAATATTGTACATCTGAGTTAAAAAAAAAGTTAAAATGCTAAACAGTTCTGATTCTAAAAACACTACAGCACCTTTACGCTAGACATTATTCAAATTTTAAGTTATTATTATACAAGAGCTTTACTTGCTTGTTAAACAAAATTTTGATTTTATTAAACAAATAAAACGAAGATGATAAAAAGAATTTTGCACTTACTGCTCCAAGGAATATCAGCAAAACTCCCTAAATCCAACTTTCAGCTCCTACCATTTTGACAACTAGCAAAGTATTTTTCATAGAATAGCATGGTTCAAAATGTTTCCATATCGAATTGGAATCATAACTAAATACTTGACTAACTTGCATGCATCAAGAAACATTTTTAGTTGGAATATTAATTAATTTTAACCAATCATAAATTTTTTTATTTGCATCTGTAGTAGTTACAATGTTTGACGACACTAAAAGTAAATAAAGAACATCATTATGTGCCGAAGAAAGATCGTCAGGTTTTATGTCGTGTCAACCAAATAAAACCTTTTTTATTTAAGAGTATTTGTCTAATAATAGAATAAAGTTTTTTTTTTAATTTGAACAAAATACCAAGAGCATTTTGTTCAAATTAAAACAGTCATTTAAAATGCTTAAATGGATTTAGGCCCCTCAATTTTACCATTTGCCCTATTTTTGATTCTTAGCACTTTTTTCCAATTTTATAAACGCCTTTTTTTCATTTTTATAGAACAAATAAGTTAAAAAAAAAATATATATATATATATATATATATATATATATATATATATATATATATATATAAATATATATATATATATTGCTTGTATATTTTACTTTAAATATTATTATATGAAGTATAAAGCTTTTTAATGCTTAGAATTAATTATAGACATTAAATTTACTACCTTACAATTTATTCTTCATATTTTAATGGATAAATATCTAAGACCGGAACGATTTGACACCAATCCCAATTCTGCATTAGTTTCTAAAAAATGGTCACACTGATTTAGAACTTTTACAAACTTCATGAAAACTATACAAACAGAAGATAAATTAGATGTTCTCATTAACTATTTATCTCCTTCCGTGTTCGACTATATTGCTGACATTGAATCATTTAATGGCGCTATGGAAATTCTGGAAAACTTATTTGTAAAACTTAAAAATGAATTATTTTCCAGACATCAATTAGCTTCATGTAAACAATCATCCAGAGAATCTATTGATGAGCTTTTGCAGGCCTTATGTACACTCAGTAAAAATTGCAACTTTAAACAGGTTTTTGCTTCAGAGCATTGTGAAGAATACATTCGCGATTCATTTATAAGTGGTCTAAACTTTCATCATGGAAGCTCTGATGCAATTATAAGCTAATCATTGAGACTCTTTAAAACCTAATATAATCCCTTCTAATAAAAGAGTCTCTATGGCTGATCCTTCCTTCTCTTGTCAAGTTATAGGTAAAGTTTCAACTAATTTCACTTTATTTGGTATGAAGTATTAACTTTTTGGTTATACCCAACTCTTGCGAGCAAATCATACTTAGTAGAGATTTCCTACAGTTGCACTAAAGTCTTTATATCAAATATGGTGGTAAAAAAGATTCTTTAAAGATCTGTTCTCTAAATAGTATTACAATGAAAGCTAGCACTATTTTCCCTTTTCTATCTTCTAGACGATATAACTCAGAGGACAAAGCATTCATTGAGCAAGAAACTAAAAAACTTTTGGAACTAGATATAATTGAACCCAGTAACTCTCCTTGGCGATAACAAATAGTCGTTACCAGGAATGAGAGACATAGGAAACGCATGGTCATTGATTATTCACAAACAATAAATCGCTTTACACTACTTGATGCTTATCCTTTACCTAACATCAATGAATTAATTAACTCTGATGCAAAAATAGTCATTATTTAGCACATTTGATTTAAAAAGTGCTTATCACCAAATACTTCTCCTAGAAAGTGACAAGTGTTATACTGCTTTTGAGTCCAATGGACATCTTTTCGGATTTAAAAGAACTCCTTTTGGCCTATTTTTGTTGCACAATTTCAAAGAATCATGGATAAGTTTATTCAAGAAAACAAATTAGAAGACACCTTTGTATATCTAGATAACTTAAGAAATTTAGAAAAATTTCTTGAAACTTCTATGAAAGCAATGTTTACGTTCAATGAAGCAAAGTCTATATTGTCTACCTCATGTATAACCTTCCTCAATGTAACCTTCCTAGGTTTTATTATAAAAAGTGACTCTTTTCCCCCTGATCCAGATTGCTTAAAACCAAAAAAAATAATAAGCAATTGTGGTTGGATCAGAGATGACTTTATTATTTATTTTGAGGTTGAAAGAGTTATTGTATATAGTAGGTCTAATGTTGATAATTTCTTTTATTCCTTTCCAAGTTTTCTTAATGCTGTTTAGGTTGCTGTTGAAAAAGGAAATATAATACATTTTTTTGAATTGTTTAAGCAAGTTGCTTATTTTATTTCCATATAACCTAAATTTATCAAAGAGTAGATTTCTTGTATTAATATTGTTTGATTTAACAAATTTTGTATAAATGACATTTTTGGTTGAGATGGATTTAAGAATACCTGCGTTGGTAAATCCATGGTTTAGATTTAAGTTTCATTTGTTTTTTTGTTAAAACTTTGTAGGGAACATGTATGTCTAGAACTTTTTCAAATGTATTTAAAAAACTAATCATTGATTTATTTTTATCATTGTCTTTTATTTGTACCTCCCAGTTCATACTAGATCTTGTATAAAGGTGTCACTATCAATGTTTTTGAAGCATCTTCTAGAGATTTTTTTTTTTTTTTTGGGTAAAACCAGGAATATAGAGAAACTGGGTCATGTGGTCTAAAATAAAAATTGTTAGATTGCCAGAAATTGTTTCAGGAGAATAGGAGTTTATAAAAATATTATCAATAACAGTTTTAGTTTTTGAAGTTATACGTGTTGGAAAAAAAAATGGTTGAGAGAGGCGAGCAAGAGCATAATGGAGATAATTTGGAGATAATTAGAAACAATAGGAGGCACTATAATTAGTTAAGTCCATGTTGAAATCACCTATTAGTATAATTTTTTTTCATAACTTAACTTCTCAAGTAAAGGAGTTAAATGGTCTCGAGAAATTTCGAGGTATAGATTGTAAGATCATCACGAACTACATAGTTAAGATTAGAGCTTAGATAAAGAAGAACCCTACCTTTTTTTGACTCAGAAGGGCAATGTTCAGTGTTAAATCCATTTATGATAATATCAGTTATATTTGAGTCTTTTATATATAAATTTGATTCAGTAATTCTTATCACCATAGGGGAAGTGTGAAGAGTACCAATAAGGCTACGGAGATCATCGATATGATGTGGTAAGGTAGCAATATTATGAAGATATATATCAGTATCAGGATTTAAAGAATTATTGAATTCAGTAACATCAAGATATTTACAATTAATAGTTAGATTATATTCATTATTCATATCTCTATATAGACTTTTTAGCAGGAGGTTCAAGAGATTTTAATAACTTTAGTGGAAGATTCATGAAAGTGTAAGCTTAGGTTCTTGATCGGAAAGGGTACTAAATAGTATATTTTTGATCGGAAAGGGTACTAAATGGTATATTTTTAGAAATACAGTCAGAGCAATGCCACTCTAAAGAGTCATTAGAGATAATGTTATATGCATGCTTATTGATTAGATTACACTTTGTGTGAATCCAAAAAGAGCAGCAGTCACATTGGATGACTCTATGGTTTTTAGATTTTTTGCATAGTTTTTAGATTTTTTGCATAGTTTGCAAGATTGTTTTAATACTATACTTCATAAATTAATATTTATGATTTACATATAAGTCTATTAGAAGTTTTTAGGCATATAGAGATAATGTAAACAAAATGATAAAGCAACAAATTGAAATTATAAAGCAAAGCTGAAATGATAAAGCATAGGATTTAATGGATTAGGTTTGTAGTTGTAAGTCAATTTATTTGTGTAATATATTATTAATGTATACAGTATGTGTATACTATCTTTTTATTATAACATTTCAAACAAAGTTAAAAAGAGAAACTTTATATCATAGTCATAACTGAAAAATATAAGTTCAGATAAGTATTTTGTTTTTAAGTATATAGGGGTAATTAAGCAATATAACAAATATAAATTAATAATAAGAAATATAATTTTATGATATTGGTAAATACACTAATATTATTAAGTATTAAAATGTATTTGTATACTTTAAGTATAAGACTATATAAGTATAAAATTATATAGTTACATAAACTTATAATATAGATGGTATATAAACATGGAATATAAAATTATCAGAATAAAGAAACTATATAAATTAATATAGAAGTTACACTAGTAAAATAATATAGAATATAATAAATACAATATATACATTATACACATGTACATACACACACACACACACACACACACACACACACACACACACACACACACACACACACACACACACATATCAGTTACACTATATATGCTAATTAACAATATGCAATAAAAATAGTGTGTATTGTAAAGATCAGCAACAAATTTTACAACAAATCTGTTTTACTTTTACATTGTTAATAAGGGTTAGTATAGTCTTATATAAGAAAATTTGTTGTTTTAAACATAGATCAGGTGTACCAGGATATCAAAGTTTTATGTAATACAATAATCAATGCACTTACCCTTCTGTTGATAATAGCAATAATAATGAAATAAAATAAAAAATTTTAAAATTGATAGTCTTGTTAGTAATTAATAATCTAGCTAATGTGAAACTATTCCAGTTAAATAAGATGGTTGAAAACCTTAAATTAGATTCAATGTAACACCAGTTCAAACAATGTGAAGCGATTGTAGCCTTATTTCAATATATTCCGATTTTATAACAATGTCTGCTATATCTATTAGTAAAAAGGTGATCCAAATAATTACTAATTATAAAATTTCAAAATAAGTAGACGCCATTTTTTAGAAGAAGTTTTTCACTTTTCCTCATCTTCAATCATAGATTATTATTAAACAAGGATTTAATTATTTAACAATTAATTTTAAAATAATTATTTAACAATAAAAAGGACATAATTATTTAACAAGTTATCTTATTAAACATATCACTTTATATTCAGTTAGTCGAATAAGTTCTTCTATTAGAATAACCATTATACACATTAATAGATAATTTCCATTCTTTCAGCTAACAAAAACTTATATTTACTTCAGGATTTAACATCAAGAAACTGAAGAAACTTATGAGACCCTGAGTTAATTTTTTAATTTTTTTAAATGATCCTCACATTATCTGCAATCAATTGTGGCCAATGTCTAAAATCTAACATTGTGCTCTAAAAAAGCAATTTTTTGAGAAATATAAATATCAAGACTTTCTTTAACTGATATCCTAAACAACTATAGTTTTCTATATCACACAATACTTTTCAGAATCAATTATTTCATCAAATATTTCAAAATATTGATGAAACCAATTTAGATACATACCACACTGCACCCAATCAGTATTACAATCATACTTTGTAATTAAACACCTGATGCTTGCACAGATTCTTTGTTTTTTACAGCTTTTTTTTATTGGAGGAATTTTGGAACATGAGTTCTAATTTAGAAAAATCAACTTACTTGCTATCCAACCTGCCAATAGATTTCCAATGTCTACAAATTATTTACCTAATAAGCGCATAACTACTGCTGTTTTAAAATATTCAACGCTTTTTGCAGTTCTTGTTTCACTCGTTCTCACATTTTCAATATTAGATAAAGATTAAAGTTTGAAACTTTAAAGTCTTATATTCCTTTAACAATAACTTATACAGTTTTAACACTATTTCTAACATAATACCCAAAACAGGAGGTACTACATTTTCTTAAGCTATTTTTGCAAAATTTACAGGAGCAATAATTAAATGATAAAACTTACCTAGAGCTCTTAAGTTGCCACCATGTCTATTTTCACACAAGTTTGTATTGTAAGCCTCTTCTGAGATTGTTTGTTTTCCTTAGGATATTATATTTAGCAGATGTGTTCAGCATAGAGGCATTGCTTTTCAGAGGAAATAAAGGCAATATTCTCATGAAAATCTGAAGCTGACACATAAAATACACAGATCCAGATGATTTAGAATTGACAACATCAAAATTGAATTTCATATACTTCCCATAGCAAAAGGGTCCCGAATTTGAAGATTGTCAAAAACTTTCTAATGTAAGTTGTCAAATTCTTAAATTTATCTTTCCAATCATCTTCCTATCCAAAGTAAAGTTTAAAAAATCCCTCTCAGTTAAAAACAGCTATAAACATAAAAAATCCCTCTCAGTTGAAAACAGCTATAAACATAAAAAATCCCTCTCAGTTGAAAACAGCTATAAACATAAAAAATCCCTCTCAGTTGAAAACAGCTATAAACATAAAAAATCCCTCTCAGTTGAAAACAGCTATAAACATAAAAAATCCCTCTCAGTTGAAAACAGCTATAAATATAAAAAATCCCTCTCAGTTGAAAACAGCTATAAACATAAAAAACAGAGAATATAATTATAATAAAATACAAAAAAAAATAAAATTGCATTTATTAACAAATAGTTGCACTCGATCTAAATCTTTTATCGAGTGCAACAATAGATGCACCCGATAAAAGATCTAACAACTTATATAATATTAGTCTGGTTATCTGAAAATAAAAAATATGCAAAAACTTTGATTATGTATTATATTATAAATTGTTTCGCTGAAACAATTATTTCAATAAAATCTTTAGATAATAGCTTGCAACATAACGCATATAAGGTTATGTCATCACTTTAAAATGTAAACACATATTCAAGCCAAAAAAAAAAAAAATTGATGCAAAACATGCCAAGTTTAAAAACATTGCCTAGCATACTTTTTACACAGATGTACAAATTGTATAAAGAATCTTACATGCAATATTTCGCATCACAGAAACTCTATTAACTGTTGATATACCATCATCAAACTCACATGAGTATTTACCGCTTTCAGTAACTTGTATTGTAATATTATAAAAACTTCTATTCTTTATTTCGGTATGTTCAATAGCTTGACCAGTAGTTAAAGATTGCGAGTTTCCAGACATTTGACTGGTTTTTCCAAATGAACCATACCAGAGCGTGCTGGGGAAGCTAAAAACAACAGACTCTGCCAGAGTCTGTTGTTAAATGTCCATAAATAATTTTTAATGGTTTTGTTTTTAGCTGCGTCAGAATCTGCACCTTAAAATTGAAATTGCATTAATATTTTTAGTTATTACCCTTAATTATTATTTTTTAAATTATAATTTTTAAAAATAATTTTATTATTCACATTTCATTCAAAAATAAAGAAACAGCGATACTTCAGAGAAAATTTGAGTAACTCTTACTTCTGATCTTTCTTGGAAACCATATTTCAAATTCATCGCAAAATAAGCATCTGCTAAAGTTTTTTGCCAAAATAAAAATGCTCATCCTTGACATTAAATTTCTTTTAAAATATTTTTACTCAACTAACTATTTTAATGTCAGTACATATGTATACAAAGAATATTTAGCTCAAAGATGTACCAAAGATAAGTTTTTTTTTTTGATTGATAATAAAAATAAATCTACTTTTAATCAAAAATATGAGCGTTTCATTGCAATTAAACAAAAAAAGCTTAACACCTTTTGAATGAAAATGATTTTCTAACTGTTAACTACTTCTGAATGTAAATGATTCCTCCCCTCCCTTCTTTCTGAAATGTTTTCTATATATACTTTGCAGGGTACTCTTTTTTTTTTTTACTTAACTGTTTTCTGTTTTTCGTTTGTTTGTTAATATCATCAGCTTAAAAAGGGGTCAAGAGAACAAAAAGTTTGAAAAACACAGAGAGTAATAAAGAAAGCTTTGGAGAATAATTTTACAAAGATTGATGGGAATGATGGGATCCAGCCCACAAAAAGACAATAAAAAATTGAAGGATTGAATTTACACATGCATCTGATTCAAAATGAGACTTTAATTTTAACTCTGACAAACAAAAAGCTAAACATTTATGGTGCACCAAGCAGTATTCTTAATTTCTAAAAAAAATAAAGATTGCAATATTTAATATAATTAAATTTATCTTTAATATTTCTGTTAGTAGCACTACTTTAAATATGTTTTAACTATTTATATTTACAGAAAGCCTTGTTGAAATTATTTATAATTACAGAAAGCCTTGTTACGATATATTATATCTGTGTAGATTTCTCTTTAGCATAGTTATGATAATAGACCAAAGTGTAAAACTAGATTTAAATCGAGTGGTGTTTTGCGTGAAAAACTTTGAAATTTAAAACACTATTTGACTAATAATAATAATAGCAAATGTTTCATCCTACCAAATAGTGACTGGTTAACAGCCTAAACTTTGACCATTAGTGGAGAAATTAGTTTATGTTATGATGCAGGTGAGAAAGTAAAGAGCCAGAGTGTTACATTCAAAAAATATTTGAATGAACAAAGTTAAACAAATTAAACAATTTTTAAACTTTCTGAAAATATTCTTTTATATTTTAAGTTAAATTATTTTTAAATTAAGTTTTTACCTAAATAATTTTCTGCTGAACAAACATAAAAGCCTTCGTTTTCTACACGGACATCCATAATTATAAAATCACCAGAACCTGATTGAATTGATCTTGTAGTCGGTAGTTCTCTAAATCCTTTTTTCCATACAATTTTAGCAGTAGGATTAGAAATAACATTACATCTTGGAAATGTTGCATTTGATGCCAAGTATACATAAATTATTGAAGAGGAAAAAGAGACAGAAGGTTTTACTTTAAAAAAAAAAAGTTAAAAAAAAAACAACAAAAAAATATCATTTTATTATCTTAATTTTTTTACAAATTATTTTTATATTGTAAATTTTTATTTTTTTATAAAATTTAACTTTATAACAAAAACTGCTTTAAAACTGTATAAAAAAATTTATTTGCAGTCAAAATTTTAAAAATTAAAATCTACACAGATATATCTGTGTAGATTTTAATTTTTAAAATTTTGACTAAAAATAATTCTTCAAACAGTTTTATGGCAGTTTTTGTTATAAAGTTAAATATTTTTATATTGCAACTTTAAAACCTTTTTATATTGCAACTCTAAAATATGTATAATAATCTGTATTTATCTATATTATACTCTGTATAAGCTTATTTTAAAAATGAAAACTTAAAATTATCTAAAAATAGGTCTCAATTAACACAGTTATTTACAACATTTTTTATCATTTAAACTTTTAAATTCTCTCTATTGTTCTCCCTCCATTCCTCCCTCCCTCTCTCTCCCTCTCCCTCTGTTCTCCCTCCATTCCTCCCTCCCTCTCTCTCTCTCTCTCTCTCTCTCTCTCTATATATATATATATATATATATATATATATATATATATATATATATACACATATATATAAATATAAATATATATAAACATAAATATATATATATATATATATATAAATATATATATATATTATATATATATATATATATATATATATATATTTATATATATATATATATATACTTATATTTATATATATATATATATATATATATATATATATATATATATATATATATATAATATATATAAATATAAATATATATATATATATATATATATATATATAATATATATATATATATATGTATATATATATATATATATATATATATATATATATATATATATATATATATATATATATATATACATATATATGTATATATATATAAATATATATATTTATATATGAATGTGTATGTATATATATATATATATATATATATATATATATATATATATATATATACACACACACATATATATATACACACACACACACATATATAAATATATATATATATATATATATATATATATATATACACATATACACACACACATATATTTATATATACATATATATTTATATATAAACACCTATTTATATATATACATGTAACTTCCTTTTTACAGAAAAAACTGGCAGTATAATAAAAAGCTTGGTAAGTGTTTTTTTACTAAATTATTACTGAATTTATTATTTATTACAATGTTCTTGTTTACTGTGGACCAGAGATGAGTTTAGGTTTGATGGAGTGTCACTCAATTTTTATTTAAGAATATTTGTATAATAACAATAAAAAGGAGACTTATTAAAATCCGAATAAATTGCTAAGGGTCATAAATGGGGCAAAAGGGAAAACACAAGGGCGGCATAAGCCCATTTAAGTGTGCTAGTTGCAATTACAAAAAAAAAATCTTTTAATCAATAGTATTTGTTTCATAAAAATAGAACATAGCGTTTTTAAAGTTAAAAAAAAAATGCTAAGGGTCACAAATAGGGCAAAGGGTAAAATTGAGGGGGCTAAGCCCATTTTAACATTTTAGGTGCCCGTTGAATTTTTCTTTGTGAATGATTGTTCTTCCGGGTCTTAAGCAGTTTGTAAAATTTAATGATAAATTAATCTTTTCTTCCATTAAAAGTAACATCAGAATTTTTCTTTAGGTTTAAAAGCTTCTTCTTGTGTGTTCAAATTTAAAATAAACTCTCCTCATTGTCGAGCAAACTGTCTTGAATAGACAGAAATTAGTATTCAAATATTACTTTACGTCTTAGTTTCCTCAGCATAGACCTATATTTTAGTGTATAAAATACATTAAAATAGTAAACACACACACACACACACACACACACACACACACACACATATAAATATGTTAGAGTAACTTATATATTATTGATATTTAAAACTAAAATACTTATTTTTGATTTTTGACAATTTAAAATGAAAAATATTATGTCATAACCTGCTGTCAATTTTATGATAATAAATTGACGGCAGTCAATTAAATTATTTAAAAATTAAATAAAAATTCTAAAAATAAAAAAGATATTAAAATTACTCTTAAAATATTTTAAAATGTCCCACTTGCCCCCACTCACCCTGTAAAATAGAAAATAGAATCTATTAAATAGTTTTAAAATAAAATGTGAGCTTATGTTTTTCATAATATATTATAATCTTTTTAAAGAATTTCCATATTTCTCTAATAAATTCAAACAACTTTGAGGACATCTCAAATTGAAAATATAAATTAACTAATCATTTAAATAAAAGAACTTTTCAATGACAGAATCATTAAATGATTTTTTTAAAAAGATACTTTTTAGTTAAATTTTTTTAATTTAAGATATACTTATAGTTTTTTACTTTTATAATCATAATATATAATTTTTATCATTAAACAAATTCCTTATCATTTACATATCATAAACAAAATTATTATCATTGAATAAATGCTATTATAAATTTATTATGTAAACATGTTGTACCTGTATATTGTAAATTATACTGTAAATTAATTAACTTGATAATACTAAACCATATTATAACCCGAGACTAAATAATATTGACTTTGGTTTTGATTTGCATTGTACTCAGCCTTTGTTCTTCTGTTCAGTAGCTAAAGAATCAGAACCAACGTAAAGTATTTTAAAAGAATCATCCAAAATCTGTAATTGATTTGTTTTTCTTTAAAAATTCTGTAAATATTCTCAGTTGTTTGTTATTAGCTGCAATGTTATCCTCACTCCATGATTTAAGGCTGTTTTATTGTTCAACTCAATTATCTCCTAAATATGTCCTTACAGTTTATAAATAGTTAATGTCATGCTAATCCAGGATATTACTTTAAAAATGTCCTGGGTTAGCATGACATTAACTAATTTGAATGAAGAAGAATGTTAATATTCACAAATATGTCTCTATAAATTTTTATATTAATTTTCTGACTAGATAACACAAATAATAGTTAATAACAAGAAACTTATTGCTGTTGTTTTGCTAATTAACTACTGTATAGGAGCTCTTTTAAATTCTGTTCATGCATAAACTTCTGCATTTATATGAATAACCACTTTTATAAAGTGGTCAAATCCACAGAGTAATGCATGGAGTACTTGTCCAGATCTTAAATTAGATCTAGTTATTGTACTTGCTGTTTGCCCTTAATGCACACCATAATTAATTGACTTACTAGTTAAAAAAACATTTTCTTGAAATCTAACGCCCAAAATATCTGTTCCAAGTTTTCAATATCTTCATTCAAAATGAATCTCTGTTTAACTGTACATATACCTTCGCTTTGTTCCTTAGATAAACCACAAAGATAGATAGTAGGCACCACCAAAGCCCTATCATATGTTTGTACTATTTGCAACAATATTCACTTTGATATTTAAATACTGTTGTTACATCTAAATATTGATATTTAAATATTATTTTAACATTGAAGATAAAACTTCCACTTTGCTTTGATGCCTGTATTAACAAGTTAAAGACTCCACATTCTCATAGGATTCTTTTCTCATCTGGATGACAGACCCTGTGATAAATCTGATTTTGGGTGATTTTTGTTCCCATATTAAGTTAATTCTATCAGCATCAGAGTTCAATAGTTTTTGAGAGCAAAACATTGCCATGATTATATTATTGGGATTAAAGATTTCATAAACTGAGAATAACAGAGCTTAAGATCAAACAGGACTTTTTTGCATTGTCTTCTTGCAATAATAAAAGGACATTTGTTCTTAAGTAGAGTAGAATAAGGCTTGACTTCAAATTAAAGAAAAGGAATAAAAGCTTCCAAACTTTTATTCTAGAAGGAAATAATATATTGTATTATCAAATATATAAAAAATATATAATATATTGTATTATCAAATGTGCATCATGCTTCCATGATGCACATTTATGCATACATAATAAAGATATTAACATATATGTTTGCTATTTATTTAGATGCTGGCATACAATACCCTTATATATTTATATAAACTTTAGTATTTATATGGTGTAATATTTCCTGAAAGAAAAAATGATTAGATAGATGTGTGGTGTGACTCTAAATAGACAAAAAAATGGAAGCATAATCTTAGACAGATTAGAAAAAAACGTATTAATACCCTTTATTGCATTCTGAAAACGATTTATAAATGACATTTATTTGCTTTATTTTTTATTCAACAAATTAAATTCTTTAACAAATCTCTGATTGTTGGACTTCGAGCACATATATATTAGTATTTTGCTTTATAAAATGCAAATATTTGTAACTTTTGCCTAAAAACATAATTGATATTGGAAAAAATAATTGATCGTTACGTCACTTAAATTGCTTATTATATCAATCGTTATATAGATTAAATTATTTAAGTTAGCCAATGATTATTATGAGAACTGTGTTCAATTTTAATAGTATGGACGCTACGTGTAACTTTTTCTTGGAAATGAAGTGGACATTACAAAAACTACTTAAATAGTTTAACATTGATATCTTGAATGAGAAAAACTTTACGTGCCTTTCTGAAAGTGCTTAAAGGGTCACATTTGGGCCCTTATTTGGTACGTATGATGTCATTATGACATTTTTTCAAAAAATCAAACTAAAAAAAAAATATTTTCGTCAAAAGTTAGATAAACTCTTGAGAAAACCTTATAATAAATAACAAAATTTCGAAAAAAAC